TCCTGCCCATGAGCAGATGCCCTGAAACCTGAGCAGAGCAGGTGTTGCCTGGGATACAGGGTTACACTTCCTCGTTCCAGAACGCTGGCCTGAAACGCAAGGCGGCGAGAAGAGGGCCTGCTCTGCTGACACTGGACACGGCTCTAGCTCAGGCTGTGGTCCACATGGGACCAACTGTCCTTAAAGGGCAAGTTTGCCAGGTGGCTGTGGGAGGGCCGGGTGCCTGCGGGAAGGCCAGGTGACTGCAGGAAGGCCAGGTGACTGCAGGAAGGCCAGGCGGCCACTGGAAGGTTAGGCAGCCATGGGAAGGTTAGGTGGTCGCGGGAAGGTTAGGCAGCCACGGGAAGGCCAGGCGGCTGGAGAAGGGCAAGGTGGCCACGGGAAGATTAGGTGGCCGCGGGAAGGTTAGGAGGCCGTGGGAAGGCCAGGCGGCCGCGGGAAGGTTAGGCGACCGCGGGGTGGCCACAGGAAGGTTAGGCGGCCGCGGGAAGGCCAGGTGGCTGGAGAAGGGCAAGGTGGCCACGGGAAGATTAGGTGGCCGTGGGAAGGTTAGGCAGCAGGCATGGGGAGGCCAGGCGGCTGTGGGAAGATGCCCCGGCGGGCACTCCTGGGAAGCTGTCTCCTCAGTAAGCCAGCGGCTCTCACCCCTGGTGCCGGCTGAAGGAAGACACTGCATCCAGTGAAACTGTGATGAACACACCGTGGACCCTGGACACTCTCCTCTGAGGGAGCGGTTTTCCTGGAGCGGCCTTGCCGTCAGCGCTGCTCATGGGAAGGTCTCTCGGATTCGGGCGCCACTTCTGACTGTGCGTCACCCCAAGAACCAACGGGCTCCTGGCTGCAGGGGCTCTTCATTTCCTTTCTGGCTGGAGTGTAGTTGGCACAGGATATGGTGTTAGTTTCGAGTGTAACACCCAAGGCGGCACTTGGCACCTCCCCGCGGGACCCCCGGGATCTGCATGGTGAGCGGGCGGCCTCTGCCCCCACCGCAGCCCACGCGAGTCTATCCTGGCTGCTGGGAGAGTGAGGGTGACATCACCCCTTCTACTCAGGGGTCCTGGTTCCCCGGCATCAGTCCGTGGACGGCCTTGAGGAGAGGCCCGCCATGCACACAGCGGATTCCTCTTCCTCTTCCTCCCTCTGAGCCAGGCAGGCGCTGGGGCCTCAGCAGGAGGGAGCACGGGCGGGAATGGAGCAGCCGGGGGGGAGGGGAGAGACACCCGTTTATCTCTGTACCCGGGTCAGAGGCAGGGCAGCTGCTCTCCCAGCGTCTCAGCCTCGGCGTGTCACCATCGCAAGACAGTTCCCCAGGGATCCCAGGCATGTGCCCCGGGAGACGATGGCCTGTCCCAGCCTCAGCCTCGCCTCAGGGCGGCGCCTCTGAGCCTCGCGGGAAGGGGCTGAGCCTTGCTTTCCATCTCCCCACCCCCCGCCCCCCCCGCCCCGCGCTCCTTGATCTCGAAGCCCCCCTCAGACAGACGCGCAGCTGCAAGAAGAGGCTGCCATCATTTCATCGCGAGGAGGCTAGAAAGGCTCCTGTAAGGACTGGTGCGCATCCTGGAACCCGGTCAGAACAGCCGGGTACCAGATGGCGGGAGCGCGCTTACTGTAAAGGGAGGCGGGTGGGCTCACTTACAAGAAGCAATTACACCAGCAGCCCGAGGACCCCAGATCCCATAAAAGGGCAGCTGGGCGGCCGCAGTACCAGTTACACACGTGTGGTCTCCACCCGACACGGAAAAACGGTCACGGTGTGTGGGTCACCTGACCTCGGCCCACCCCTCTCCCCTCCTTACATGCCAAGTCAAGGCCGGACTGCCCAGAAGCAAAGACCCACACCCCAAACACAGACTCGTCCACTTTCTCCATCACTTGGCCGCCTGGGGGACCTCCTACCAGGAGAATTAACCATCCAGGCCAGGGGGCGCTGCCAGCACCCATGGGAGGGCCCGGGGACCCAGTTCTTACCTCAGGTCCAGGGCCAGGAAATTGGAGAAAATGCCTTATAATCCATTTCTCCTTAAATCGGGAGCGAGCGCAGCGCCCTTACTATTTCTGTTCGGACACGGGCATAACCCTGTGTGCGTGTTGACACCGGTGGGGACTGGGCACCGCGTTGCAGGGCCGCACTCTGCACTCCCCCGGTCTGGGCTGCCAGGCTGCCTCCCCCACACGGAGCTTCCTGTGCCCACGCCCTGCACCCACGTCTCTGCCTGCATGTGCCCCTGCGTGTCCCCTAACGAGATCACATCGCTGTCTTATCCCACTTTGGCCAGACTGAACGGGCCTTCCCCCACGGGACCAGCCTGACAGTAATGGAGCTGGGGAGGGACCCGGGGCCACCCAGCGCAGCCCTGCTGCGGGGGACAGCTCACGTATGGGGCCTCTATAAACCAGACACACCCCAGGAGCTCACCTCCGTCACATCCTTCCTCTGGGTAAAGATGGCCAGCAGCACTTGGAAGGCAGGGAGAGGAAGGGAGAGGAACGTTTGTGCACAGGGGGGCATCTCCAGGCCCTGAGTGACGTGCCCGTCCTCCTGACCGTCCAAGGCGTGCCCGTGAACCTTCATCCCCGAGAAAGCTGCCAGAACCCAGCCTGCCAGGCTGGTGCCTACACCCCGAGAGCCCCCATACTCTGGTCCCCGGGGGCCTGGCACTCACCTGCACCTGGCAGGTCAGCCAGAAGGTGCCTTCCTGAGAAATGGCCCCTGGTCCCCAATTGTGCATTGGCTGCTGATGGCTAAATAAAATGCAGTGAACAGGTTTGCCGGCACCATCATAAAATTATACAGACCAGGTGGCGTCAACAGCAGAGAAGGCTGGCAGGCTGACGTCCTAACCACTAGGCCAAACCGGCCAGGGCTCGACACGTCTGTTGACTGGGGAAGGAAGGGACATCCCCGGATTCCTCTCAAAGCTGAGGGCTTAGGTGCCTGGGAATTCTACATCTGTGGCACACCTTCTACAATGCCCGCAATTTCTAATGCATCCATCTTTAAATAGATGAGGGATGAAAATAATCAATTGCTTCATAAATGAGAAAAACTTAAACCCGAAGAACCTGCCAACAATGAGACAACGGAGTTCAGAGCCTTGACTTAAGGTTGAGGGTTCTCCACCTGACCCCAGGGACACTTTAGCCAGGTTATTCTTTGTAGTGAGGGCCGTCCTGTGGGTTGTCAGCGATGCCAGGGACACCCCACTCCCTCCTGTGACAGCGAAGTGTCTCCAGACATTGCCAAAGGCCCCTGGGCACAGAATTGTCCTCGGTTGAGAACCCATTTTAGAATTACACGGAGGAGTCTCCTTGGGTGTTATTTTTCTCTACCTAAATGTATTTGCCAGTCTCCTCTTCAAATCAATCAACAAAAACAATAAGAATATAAGCATCTAAATTGGCTACTTTCTATGTTCTAGTCCCACTACTCACACATCTTCATGATCAACCACTTATGCATTACAGGCACAAGACCACTGGCATGCCATTTCAGATCAGAAAAATATCTCCCACCATCACCCTGCCCTCTTCATACAATCTCTCTCTCTCTCTCTCTCTCTCTCTCTCTCTCTCTCTCTCTCTCTCACACACACACACACACACACACACACACACACACACACACACAACTTCCTATCTCAGTGGTCGGCAAACTCATTAGACAACAGAGCCAAATATCAACAGTACAATGATTGAAATTTCTTTTGAGAGCCAAATTTTTTAAACTTAAACTATATAGGTAGGTGTATTGTTATTAACTTAATTAGGGTACTCCTAAGGCCTAGGAAGAGCCACACTCAAGGGGCCAAAGAGCTGCATGTGGCTCGAGAGCCGCAGTTTGCCGACCACTGTCCTATCTGAAAGGTGAGCAGTTTGCTGGCTCCCTGTCTCCCTGTAGTAAACTCCCAGGCCCCTGGATCTGGCGGCCCTGTGCCCACTTTCCTGTCATCCTCAGCGGGTTGGACCCATGCAGGGGGGTTCTGCTCAGTGTTTTCAGGCCGGTGCCATGTCCCTGTGACTGGCTGTCGCAGGAGCTGTGAGAGAGGCCGGGGTGGACTCGGTCAAGCCCACGTTTGCAGCCGCGGGGACCTCCCGGTTGCTGCATGGGTGGCGGTCCCCTTGAGGCATTTCCCAAAGCCAGGGTGGACGTGGCCTGAGACAGAGACAGACCTCCGGGTATTAGGCCACGGAGACTGCGGGCATGTTTGTCACAGCAGCAGAGTGGAGCTGGTGCTGCATGCGATGCACGGGTTCCACTGAGGGACAAGCTCCAAAGTTACACCGGACATTTTCTGGACACTTCGGATGGACAGCCAGTCCCAGGCGACAGCACCCGACAGAAGAAACAGACAAGGGTCCAGACTGTCGACATTGCATACTCAGGTTTGCTTAAATTATATGAATAATCAGTTACATAAACAAAACTACAATCACACCTAGTTTTATTCATCAAAGTCTGTGAACCTGGACATTGGAAATGTGCTCCTGTCCCTTTAAGGACGGGAGGGACACCAGGGCTTCTTGGAGCGGCTGCCCGTGGGGAAGGTGTTTCTGTGTCTATGGCTTTGGCCTCTGGCAGCTCCCATTCGGTAATGGCCGCTGGAAAATGACTTCCGATGCAGAGGGCGGGCACGGCCTTGGCTGACCGTTTACTCAGGGACCAGCGGGGCCAGGCTGCCCGCTGTCCTTTCGGGACGCTCGGCGTGGATTCCGGTCAATAGCCTGTTTTAGGAAACGCCGAAGCCAGATTTTAAAACGAGAGGAGATCTGCCGGCCCCTGGGCACGCACGGCGACCGGACGCCGGGGGTAAAGGCCGCGGTTCGAGGCCTCTCCGACGGGTCTGTCTCCAGCAAGGGCTCTCTCCACCCCCCTCTGCCCAGTGCCCACCTCCTCAGCCCCTGCACCCGTCCCGGCTTGGAAAGGACACACTTCCTGGACCGGGGTTGGCTGTATTTTTGTTTTGGGTTTTTGGTTTTGTTTTTAAGAAGAACTGTATTTTTTCCCTTCGGGTAGGGAAAAAGTCTCTCTTGAAATGTGATCCTCCTCCCAGATAAGTAATGGCAACCCCCTCGAATGGAAAGTGGGAGCGGACACGGGTTCTGAGTGCGGCGGGCAGCGCTTCTGATTGGAAACGGCTAAGAGGGAGTTTTCCTTGGAGGCCGCCCAGCGGACTTGGAACCAAACACAACAGAGATTTGCTTGTGAGCACTGAGGCCTCTGTTTTCCCTGTTAAAGGAGGAGCTGAGAGTGAGAGAACTAAGTAATAAAACTGCATGAGGGAAATGATCTGAGTGGGCATTTTATCTATGATGGGGGGATGCAGCAAGTCTCAAATAGGGAGAGCAGAAATGACCTTTGAGGCCATCTGGTCAACCCAGGAGGAGATGGAGCCTTGTCCCAGTGAAGAGCCTGGCTTCTTGTCTGTTCTTGCTATCACAGTGCCTCTGCTCAAGCTGAAGGATTCCGTGTTTCCACTTAAAAAAGAAACCAATCTAGCCTGGCCGGCGTGGCTCAGTGGTTGAGCATCAACCTGTGAACCAGGAGGTCATGGTTCATTTGATTCTCGGTCAGGGCACATGCCCAAGTTGCGGGCTCGATCCCCAGGCGGGGGTGTGCAGGAGGCAGCCAGTCAATGATTCTCCCTCATCATTGATATTTCTATCTCTCTCTCCCTCTCCCTTCCTCTCTCTGAAGTCAATAAAAAATATCTTTAAAAAAAGAAAAAATAAATCGATCTAGTTTAGCTGAATTCTTCTGGAGTTTTGGGAGGCATTTGCTCACCTGCCACAGAACGGGCCTTTGGTTTGCCAATGGCTTTGAAAGCCACACTTCTGTAGTCAGGACCTCCTGGGTTCTGTGCTCCTTTAGCCAATCAGTTACCAAAAATGGATACTGTCAGTTTTTTTGAAGGTCTCTTCATTTCCTTGATTAAAAATAGTACATCTGTAGTGTTAGCATTATTAGTCTTAAAATATCATAAAGCAGATAAAACAAATAATGTTACTGGCCTATGATTGGACAAGTTAATTATTGCTTCCTCCTTCATCTCTTGTCCTCTCACTCCCATTCTCATTTCCTTTTCATTCCTGCCTTTGTAACGCACATTTTTATTTACATGTAACATACATACTAATGAGTGTATCCATAATAATGTGTCTTGATGAGTGTTCCAAACAAGCCCTCTCATGTATCCAGCAAGCAACCAGCTCAAGAGAAGAACATGGCAGGCACCCCGAAAGCCCACCTGGGCAGCCTCATCCTGACTTCTGACATCATAGATCCACTTGGCCTGCTTTTTGTTTGATAGACATGGAATCTTCTAGAACTTCTGTTTCTGGCTTTTTTCACTCAGGCTGCGTCAGTGAGATTCATCTGTTGCTGTATATTTTTCTTTTCATTTAAAAATCTACACCCTCCCCCACAGTCTGGGGTACATTTATATTCCTCTTACTTCATCTTTCTAGCAGGTATTCGGCCTCCTCTAACTTGTGTGTTAGATTTCATTGCCATCTTCTGATGTCTTGCCTTTGTCAAGTCAGGAGCGTCCCTCTGACCTGAGCAGTAGAACAGCGTGCACCCCTGGGATGTGCGGGCTGATGCCTCCCCTCCAGGCTCCCCAAGCGGACACAGCTACTGGACCACACAGGCAGGTGAAGGACGCTTTGTTCAAGGGTCCACCCTGGGGTGCTTACGTGAGAGATGCCGTAGGCAATTTTATTTCTCCTTGCCTAGGCCACAGGACCTCGACAGTGGGCCAAACATTATTCTAGATGTTTCTGGGAAATTATTTTTTTGACAAGACTAACATTTAAATTAGTAGACATTGCATAAAGCCGATTGCCCTCATAATGTGGGAGGGCTTCACCCAACCAGTTGAAGGCCTCAGTAGAACAGTGACTGACTACCCCAAGCAAGAAGGAATTCTGCTAATTCACATTGTTTGGACTGAAACTACATCGCACCCTTGGGTCTCCAATCTGCTGGCCTACCCTGAAGATTTTGAACTTGCTAGTCCCCGCACAATGATGTGAGCCAATTCCTTAAAATTAATCTCTCTGTACCAATAGATAGATACATCTACATGTAGACACATAGATAGACACCAATCCTCTTGTTCTGCTTCTCTAGAGGTCCCTGACCAACACAGCTCCTCTCCCCACTCCCAAACCATGGAAGACCTTGCTAATTCCCCGGGACAGGACGTTCCTGCCGCGGAGTCCTCGGGCTCTTCCGCGGGGTGGCCGCCAGGTGACCACGTCAGCAGTGAGCTAGTGTACAATGTCTTGCTGGCTTTCCCCAGAGCACTGCTTCTCATTTGGGGGTGAGTTTGCTCCTGGGAGACATTGGACGATGTTTGGAGACATTTTTGTGGTCACAAATGGCAGGGGGAGGGGTCTGCAATGCACAGGGCAGTCCTTCTAACAAGTGTCCATTATACAGGACTGAGATCGCGGCACTGGAGACACAGCCAGGGTCCAGGAAGTTCGGGGTCACCCAGACTCAGCTACTAAAAGGCAGGTGTCTCAGACAGGAATTGCTCAGTCCTTACACGGCGATATTATATGGACTGGAGAGAGTTCATCCGTAATAAGCAACCTGGAAAGTTATTCTAAAGTTCTCAAGTGCACCCCTTTTTGTTATATTTTTTTGTGATGTGAGAGCAATTATTTTTAGCCTTGTCTTCTCTTCATTGCATTCATAACAGAATTTCCTCTTCCTTCCACAGACGGGAAAGTAGGCACCTTCTTCCTAACACAGTCATGGTGTCGGCGATCTCTCGGCTGAGGGGACACGCTCCAGGTCCCGGAAAAGAGACGGTGGGAGGAAATGAATAAACGGCAGCTTCCTACACTTGGCCATCAACAACAGCAAAGCACACGAGAAGAGCCGGGTGCAGGAGTCAGCATGGGCTTGCTCATTCCTGGCACCCAGGCGCTTCTCCCACTCAGAGCTCACGGCGGGTTTGGGCAGCAGCCCAGGAGGTTTCTCCAAAGACACTGAGCCCCTCGCCCTTGGTGCAGGGGCCAGGCTGTGCGCGTGTTAGGAGCAGGCTCTCCGTCTCTCCAAGACATAGGCTCACGAGGACTGTGCGGAGGAGCTGTTGTCTGCTATGGTCTCCAAGGCACCGTGTAATCGTAACCCAATACTAACAGGATAGTAGGTCATGTACTGGGTATTTTGCTGTATTTTTTATCCTTATACTAATTCCCAACAACCAGGGTAGAAGAGAGTGGGTGGATGTTTTTATGGTGAACAAAGTTCACCAGAAAACTATGGGGATATTCTCTGGAGACTCTAGAGACAGAGAGGAAGTGAATAAAATCAAGTCAGCTTGGAAACCCATTACTGTTTCTGCAGAATATCAGGAAATCGGCACCGGGATATCCATGCCCCTGGGTTCTTATTGCTACTTTGTGTTGGAGCAGTTATTGAATCACATCATCAATGAGAGGAGAGTGGCCTATTTTTCCATTTTGCGTTTTCTGACCTGTCGGTGATGGGCTGCATGAATAAATACGTAAGCAAATGATTTTGATCTCTTCCTGTTACATGGGAGTCATCAACTGTCCTCCATAGATTTTATTTCTAAAAGCCACTCATAAGAAAGGAAGGTCAACAGATGAAAAGGGTACAGCTTGTCGGCTTGGATTTCAAGATGTTGGTGGCAATAGTCCAGGCGCACGGAGGGCTTGACGGACAGTCCACCTGCATGTGGTATGACGCCGAGGCTCAGAACTCTTGGCTGTGAGGCACAATTGCATTGCCATGGTCTGTGGGAACAATGACCACCTCATCCTTTTCTCCCAGCCTCTGCCTAACAACATCCCTGAACTGTGCAGCTGACTGGTTTGTGCTCCCATAAAAATTATCATAGTTGCTGGAGAAACAAAACACAGCGAGGAAGGTCAGAGAAGGCTGAAGAGACAGAGCGATGTGTCCGAACCTTAGGTTACCCAGGGGCTCTGGCACCCGTGGGCTGAGAAGCAGGTAATCCAGGGAGAAGCGCACAGGCAGGTGTGCAGGTGTGTGGCCAGCTGTGTCGTGAGGCCTGCAGTGTGTCACGCAATAGCACAGCGTGGGCGTGACCTAAACCATTCCCTAGACCAGTGGTCGGCAAACTGCGGCTTGGCAAACTGCGGCTCGCGAGCCACATGCAGCTCTTTGGCCCCTTGAGTGTGGCTCTTCCACAAAATACCAGCTCTTCCACAAAATACTGGCTCTTCCACAAAATACTGACTTCTGTGCATGGGCCACGAAGTTTCAATCGCACTGTACATGCACGCCCGCACGTGGTATTTTGTGGAAGAGCCACACTCAAGGGGCCAAAGAGCCGCATGTGGCTCACGAGCCGCGGTTTGCCGACCACGGCCCTAGACCTAGACCCATCCTCCTTTGAGGTGGGTCTAATGAAACTTGTTTTGGCAGCTTGGCCTCGGTGGGCCAGTTCCTGCTGCATCACCATCTCCGAGACATCGACATGAAAGCCGGGAGGAAGCTTCCCAGACTGGCCAACACCGTTCGCCCACACTGACCAATGTCCTCATGGCAGCCCGTTGGCACCAATGCCATCTGCAGTATTGAGTCTTCCACCCTTCAGACCACGAGAGAACAGACTTGACATCTGCCTGATTCTTTTCAATCGAACTGAAATACATCAAATACACGGATGCTGTGGCCAGAGCTGACTCGGACTGTGGAGGACGTGGGCTCTGGGCTCAGGCGCTGCCCCTGCCACCCAGCAGCACCGTGTCCTGCTCCCTCACCTCACGCTCAGCCTCGTCCTCATCTGGAACAGGGGCTTCTGGGTAATATCTATGGAGGAGCTGCAATGGGCCAGGGTCCATTCCACCACGTGTGATGTCATTTAGTGGCCGTAGGAACAACCCTGCCCCGTAGGCACCATCATCACACCACGTTACAGGTAAGGATGCCAAGGCCCAGCGCCCAGCGGGGAAAGAGCAGAGCAGCCGCTGGTACCCAAACCCTGTGGGCTCGATGCCCTATCCTCCTTCCCCTCTGAGTTCCGAACCCCTGCACTTCATACCGGGGCAGTGTCCTGACTCACGTCACACCCACGTGGACATATTGCTCCCAGGAGGAACCCAGTCCACACACACGGCTCACAGCAAAGGGGTCCACACGCCCCTGGGTCACCCGCCCAACAGACACGGACCGAAAACCAGCAGCTGTTCCAGGTGGGTGTGCCACACGATCAAGGGCCCTGCCCCCTGGAGCTTGCAGTGGAGAAAGGAAACAGACTACAGCCAGATCGATATATTGTCAATAACCCATCCCTAGTGCCACGAAGAAAACCAGAGCAGCGGATGGAGGGACGCGTTGGGTGGGGGAGGGTGGAGGTGGAGGGTGCTGGGATGGGTGACTCAGAGGGAGGCCAAGGGTCTTTGAGGAGGTGACCTTGAGACCAGCCCTACCACAGGTCAGGAAGGCCATGGGGAGCTCTGAGGAGCATTATTGCTTTTAGAACAAAATTAATTATGTGCTAATTTCTTAGCTAAACCGAAAGAGTTCTTGTCACCAGCGCCAGCCAAAGGCCCAATGTCTTTCTTCCGTGTTCTCGACACTGTGACAATGAAAGAATGAATTGAAGATGCAAGTAGCAAAGGAAGGGGCTGCTCTGAGGCCGGAGCGCCTGGTTCGCACACAGGCCAAAGGCACCATGAATGGCCAGAGAGCGTGTCTGCCTCCCTGGCTGTGGGTGATTCACAGTCTCCCAAAGACAAAACCAGCGCTGGCCACAGTTCGGCTGGTTTCACTTAATTCTCTGACCCCGACTCCTCGTGTGGCTAAAAGCATCGCATCATCACAGCAAATGCTGCCTCTCTCGGCTCCATTAAAGGGAGCCCGGGCCATTTCCAACACCATCTCCCCACCCAGCCTCGATTTCACCACGCTCTCCACCGAAGATTAGCGCTAATGCCTTTCTAAGAGGTTTGTCACAAAAGGGGGCTTAATTGGGCTCATTTTCTCCATCTGCACGTTTGTTCTAAAGCTTTACTTTCAGAAAGCGTGCTGGCCATGAGTGATTCATGGGCCACGGGCAGGGGTAGGAATTGGAGAACCAAGTCGCTCAGCAACTTAGCTTCCTGGGGATATAGAACCCCGTCGCTCAGTGGAGTGGATAGGACAGTGTCCCCCAAAACACATGCCCACATGCTAACAGCCATGCCCGCCAACGTGACCTTGTGTGGAAGCAGGGAGTTGTCAGATGTGATTAAAGATCTCAAGAGATCATCTTAGACTAGAGAGGCCTGAATCCAGTGACAGGTGTCCTTCAACAGAAGGGATGGGAGAGACGGGGACACGGAGGAGGCCACGTGAGGCAGGGGCAGAGATGGAGGCTTTGGGCCTCAGGCCACGGAGCCCACGGCCAGCAGCCACCGGAAGCCACGACTGAGACACGGAGTGACTCTCCCTCGGAGCCTTCAGGAGAACTCCCCCCACCCCCCCACCTCCGCCCCCAGCGACTCTGGTTCAGACTTCTGGCCGCCAACATGGTAAGGGAACACATTTCTGTTGTTTTAAGCCAACAAGTTTGTGGTATTTTTTTAGGCAGCATTGGTTTGAGTCCTTGACATTGAATAGAGGACTAATTGTGCAGAGTTATTTAACTCCTAGGACAATGGAGGGTGTGACCCAGTGTTCAGATTAGAATATATGTGTGTTTTAAAAATATATACTTTTACTGATTTCAGAGAGGAAGGGAGAGGGGGAGAGAGAGAGAAACATCAATGATGAGAGGGAATCGTCGATCGGCTGCCTCCTGCACGCCCCCAACTGGGGATCATCGAGCCGCAACCTGGGCATGTGCCTTGACAGGGAACTGAACAGTGACCTCCTGGTTCATAGGTTGATGCTCAACCACTGAGCCACGCCGGCCGGGCCAGGGCAGAATATGTTTTGTGCCGATTTTACTGGGAGAGAAAATGGCTGTGGTGGCTACTGTTGTGGGAGGTAGCCCACCTCTCCCACTCGGCCCCGCTGGGGACTGACCCTCCACAGTCACACAAGTGGGTCGACCCAAACAGAGTCCATCAGAAGCCCACCCTGCAGCCACACTGATTGGTCGAAGCGCTGGTTGGCTCCCTGGAGCTCTTCCTGGCCATCTGAGCGGGAGTGGGAGGGAGCGCTCTACTCCAGCCACTCACTGAGGCTCGAGTGTGAACGCCGAGCCCCATCACAGCCCTGCAGGCAGACCCGCAGCAGGAAGCCACGGTCCGCACCGAGCACCTCCTCTGCGGGCACGGCTGACATTGGGAGGTGCAGTGCCTCGTGGTGTGGCCACATCCTGTGCACTGCAGGCCAGCGGTGCCCCTGGGCCTGCTACTAAAGAGCCAGTAAATGCCCCCAATCATGTGACAAACCAGAACACCCCGGGCATTTCCCAATGTCCCCTCCAAGGGGGTACCCCGGCTGAAAGCAGGGGCAGGGGAGCTCAGAGGCAGCACCTCCGACTCAGCAGCCGGACCCATCCCTGGTCACGGTAGAAGTGGACTTGCCACCCGAGACTCGGGCATCTGGACGGCATCGCCAGGAGCCAGGCTGCCCCTGTCACCACGTCGGTATCTTCCTTTGCAAAAGTAAGAGCGGCCTGCTCACTCCTGGCTCATCACTGCCCTCGGGTGTGGCTGCTTCAGGTCACCTCCCCTGTGAAGGTCAACAGCTGCCCCTGACCATCACCTCTGGGTGACCTGGAAGGTTTCTCTCTTCATCCCTTTTGCCTTGACAGCTCAGCTTACAGAGAGCGGCCTGACTTCAAGTCCCCCAGGGACAGCTAATGACCCGGAGGGGGTGACCCTGGAGAGGCCTGCGCTGAGGCTGGAGTCGCAGCCAGAGCCTGATTGCAGAGGGCTCACAGGCCAGGACTTCCCGTGGTGGGATGTCCCCCCTGCAGCCATGAGGGTCCAAGGTCATTGGGAGTGACAGGGCCACGTTCGTGGGGCCACAAGGAAACAGAACTGGCGTCAGTAAAGGCCTGTCGGGGAGTGGGCGGTGGTAGGGACCTCTGAGAACGGACCAAGGGTAGGACGGAGGCAGCAGCAGCAGAAGCTCCGGAAACGGGCTTGAGGGCCAGTGCGCAGCTGGTGCTGGAAGCGGGACTCGGTGGATGGAGAGGAGAAACGGGGAGGAGTCACCTCGTTAAAGTAGAT